AAAGTACGGATTTAAGGTCTTTAAGTATTCTATTCCAGTCAACTTATTTTACTTTGGAGAATACAAATTTTGTCTTAATCATATTAAACTAGTAAGGGTCTTCATGCTGACAGCAGGTAGTCTTTCCCACGCAAATAGACCATTCTTCTCTGAAAGGGTCGATTCATTTTCACCTCTGCAATTCCATTCCTGGAGCTGGTCTTTCTTCGATGAAAGAAGAAGAAGTTTTGGATTCAATATCACTAATATCACATTCAATTGGACACTACCTTGATACCTAGATGGCACCGGGGTAAAGGTGGAGTAATTAGGACCCGGTGAAACCCTGCTGACTTTGAAGTCCTCTCGGAGTCAATAGTCTAGTGTACAGCCGGTGGAAGAAGGACATTGCACGTGATCGACAGAGGCGGAGAACAGCGATGAGATACGTCACTGAAGTCGGCTTGGCGAGTGAGGATGACAGCCGCAATGACATCAACAGAAAACCTTCTGAAGCTCATCACTGTTTTATTACTAGCTTAAACCAGTCGCTTTCTGTAAGTGCACCATTAATAATAGGAACGACAAAGATACATTATCCTTAGCGAACAAGCGATTAGATAAATCCCTGATCATTCATCATCAGACATATACTCATGCCTTAAGACCAGAAGTGTTTACGGCAAAGTCGTAAGATTAAGTGAATGTAAAGTATTATTGCAATGAGTCGAAATAGGTTATACAGAACGTACTTTCAAGAAATCAGCGATATGAACCATCACCAAGGTTGGCAGTCAGTCTGCTATAAATGGGCATGGACAATTCATTTATTATAACTACTAACTACCTTGGTTTAATTTCATGCTCACAACCCTCAAGTTTAAGGTATATTCTTTATTATTTTTGGCACTAGATGACAAGCACTTTCGAAGACAAACATCCCGGAGCAAGCAAAACAAATACAATAAATTTTTTTATCGTTCCTGGTGCAATATTAGCATAAAACTTCAGAAATTATCTATCCCTGTCTCGTTATCCTATTTTCGGCCTTACTGAGTGAGATACAACAAACCACCTCGTAGTCCAAACTATCATCTTAGTTCTTTGTTTGGACCGAGATGTAAAGTTATATTGAACTGTTGACTGTAAAGGTGATGCATGAGCCTATTGGTGATTTAATAAACCAAATGCTCAGAATCGAAACCTCGTTCAAGAAATCTTTATTTGACATATCACGAAAAGATTGTGGAGCGAAAATTCTCCCTCAACTTTTCTGTCTATACCTCACATATCTGTAGGGCTCAAATTCGCTGTTGTTCTGGCAGACGACGACTGACCGTAGATCTTGTGTATAAATTCGAAAAGACAGAAGATTTATGCCGAAATTTTGCCGCTTGTTTCTTATGGTCTTAGACCTTTGACCTTTAGCACAACGTTGCGTTTGATAAGCCGAGGAATTGGCCAAGTTTTCTTCAAAGGACAGTTGGCAACACTAAGGAGGTTCCAGAGTGTTAATGAACATTAGCAATTTCTTTATTAGGGCGTATGACTTCATAGATGAATAGAACCGACCGAGTAGAGTATTCTTTTCTGAGCAAGTTCATTAAACTGAAGCTGGATGAAGACTTCGAGGTCCTCCAATTGCGGAACTTGCAGAAGACCACAGAAGCCTGAGACAATGCAGAAAAGAGTTAGCGCTTTATCAATCGTCTATCCTTGCGTTGAAGAACGAGAATGGCGTATTAATGTCTGATAGAGTAAAGATGCAATCGATCAGCAAGAACTTTTGCACCCAGTTCTTTGCGTTTTCCCTCCAACATCACTCCAACAGTCAGGACAAAGTGCATTCCCGATCCTCATAAGCAAAGATCGGCATGCCTCACAGCAAAGGAATGAAGGAAGAGTCAGAGGAGGAGACAGCATGGCAATTGGAGTGATCAGAGCAGGTGTTCAGAAGCTGCGAAGGGTTCCACCAGAGAGGTCCAATTGCTACCTGGAGACGAAAAAATACAATCGTGGTGGAAGGAGTCAAAAGCAATTATGTTATTCAAGAAGTGAAGGGTAAGGAGGAAACCCTGGAAAAAAAAAGTGGTCCAATCTGTCAGTGTTCACTAGCCGATAGGCTGTTCACCATGATCATCGCCAACAGACTGTCAACAAGTCAAGAGCAGCTAAGAACACAGGTAGGATTCCCAAATAAGCAAAAGTACTTGGTTAACTAAAGAGTACGCGCTACATTGTCGAGTACGACACAGTGCGTACTGCCCTGACAAAGAAGGCTATCGACACACGTTAAATTAAACTACTGGAGGAAGCTGACTCTGGCTGCTTCAGAAACAGCACCTTGTTCGACATCCATCAGTCAGCCGTTCGATTCTCTACAGAAGACGACACTCCTTCGGATACCGCCTCCTCTAAACTCCTCACTGCCTCTTCTGAAATGTTGTTCCGAGTATAAACTGGAAGTGTGGGATTAGCAGCAATAGTGAACAGCTCAGGCGTCCAAGGTTCGTTGATGACGCGGCTTTGTTTGAGCAAAACTTCAGCAATAAGAACTCGTCAGACGGCGAATCAATCTGTCAAAGGCGAAAGTACTGTGATCGGATGCCCTGCCCAAGACCCACGTAATATTAAACGACGGAAAGATCGAGAAAGCCGATAGTCACATTTAAACCGACGGGAGATGGTCGGTGATGATCGTCGACCGGTACTCTCTGGGACCGACTGGACCGATTGGTCCCTCAGAGTGACGGCGGGAAGAATATATCAGGAGCCAGCGAGGTTGGAAACTACGAGGAATGGCGGCTTGTTGCTGTCGGCGCGATTCCTTGCCGATTATCAGTTAATGCAGGTAATCCGAGTTTCGCGTAGTCCATTCCAGGTGTCCAGTGTATTAAAAGAATAGGAACACCTTATCAGATTTTGGAAACGGGTCCATCACTGATAAGTGCTAGGCAAGGGTACACCACCTCAGTCTAGCAGAGCTGGTTGCTGCCACAGTTCAGCATGGAAACGGAGGTATTTTACCAGATAAACGCAAATTCGCCCCATTCGACCTGAGAAAAGGCGTCTGATGACAATTTCGCATATAATTCTTTGTTTACAAAAATAATTATAATAATCCTTCTTATGAATAAGCCTTTTCTTGATCCCCTGTCGTTCGCGAGGCCAGCTTTAATTTTTGAAATGTCCTCGACGGCGATATTGGTTTTCAAATGGTGCATTGAATTTTATGAAGCAACTCTTCCCATTCTATATAGCTTTACCAGTGCGGTTACCGCTAATGGTCGGACAGTGATGACTTATAATAATTCAAGGAACAGTAGTGCTAAAGTCATTGTTGTATGGTGATTCTGGTTCGGTAGGAAACAAAATTGATTCCGGTTTTTTGCGAGAAGGTGGAAGGTCACTCTCGGAATGAAACCGAAATAAATTGGGTGTAATTTTGGTGCTGACCTTGAGTGTGTTGTTTGGCCGCCACGCCTCTGTCCTCAAAATCGTCGTTTCAGCGCCTTGTACAAGAACCGCCGATCATCGACCATGGAATCAAGGTGTCAATGCGGACGCCAGTTATGGATGGTTTCAAAGAGCCCAGCAATTGTTGCACCGGTGACTCCTTTGTTGGCCAAGCGCGCCTCGACCGGAAGCTTCAGGCGAATAGGGGACAGTCCCGCGGTCCTCTTCTTTTGGTCTTCCGCCTGATTGATGTCGCGTCCGGGCTGGAGCTTCTCATCCCCAGTGAATTATTCATTTCCGAAAGGTTCATGACGCGAGACCCACCGCTGTTCATCTCCGTACGATGCAGTGTTTCTACCATTGCACATGGCCATGAGCAGACTGCTGGTGTTCACGAAAAAAATCACCTCCCCTCCAGATAACGCCGAAAGTGTAAGCCGTCGTTCCCTGATTCCAGAAATCGCTCGCCCAGATCAACGCCTTTGTGCAATGCACTTTTTTCTTCCAGGGCAAAAAAACAAGATTTGGATTTTAAGTATGAACGTATTTGCGTTGCTCCTCTCGTTGGTGGGTCACATGACGGACGATGAACACAGTAACGATACATATTTCATCATCGACCCTGACTACGATAGTCTTAAAATGGCTGAACTAACCTGATTAATTATGTCTGATCAGATTGGCAATGCATCTGCTGGATGTCATTGCAAACATCTGCCGTCGGCGGCCGGTTCTCTCAAGCAATGGACTACTGACCAAAAGGGCATTTCAGGATCGGTGAGGTCAGGGTTTTTCTTTGGACCATTTGTTCAGACTGAGTCTGGCTTCGACCTCTGGCTCTTAAGAGAGCCTTAGCCGGTTTGTGAAGCTCCGTTCTGCTCCCCTTTACTATATTATTCGTTCACGGTATTTTAATTGGTTTTGCCGTGATGGTTGACGTTTCTAGGTTGCACTGCAAAACCGAGGTACGTGATTTCAAAATGATAATTTTTATATTGTAATTATTTATGGTTTCACTCTTGAAGAAACGCTTACCAAAATTCGGTGATGCCGATTCATTTCCTTTTGAACGAACGCTGCTGTGTTTACATGGAGCCAATCCAACTGACTTTCCTGGTGGTTGAACTCTCTGACAAATGTTTTGCTTGGAGTGCAGTGATTGACTTCAAAGCTGAACCTCTGATTGACAGCCAATCTATTATAACAGCTAAATACAGCAGACATTTTTTCTCTTTGACCTATACAAAGCACTCATTTACCTTCATCACTGTTCGCAACTAATTTTTCAATGTCGCATCCTGTGCTTATCACTTTTTTCCCTCTTTTTGCTACTACATTCTTTTAGCCAGATATCATGGTCTTCTACTAAGAGAAAAGAGTGTATGATTAAGATATCCGTGTTAATTACTTCAGAGATTCGTAGGAGCAGTGGCCCATAAATTTTTGTTCACGCTTCCACGTACAATTTTTTTCATCAAGTGAGATTTGTATTCAACACGTATGGGCTCTGTTATTCCCTGAGTACCGTAACACTTTCAGTCTATCACATTTTTGGTTAAGAGCTGCTGCAGCTATTAAGCGAATTGTGCAGTGCAGTAATCCGGCCTTGTCCTACAGGCGATTCTGTACTGTCACTGACGATTGCTAATCTGGAGACTTGGACGTCAAAATGTGGCTTTTTGGAAGGTGTTGGTTTGGCCAGAATGCTACGTAGTGATTTATTTTTAATGGGATAGATGTCATTGTGATTAATTAAGAAT